AAAGAACTCTTTATTGACTTTAAGAAGAGGTAGAAGTGATACCACACTTGGAAAGATGAATGCAGCAGGTACAGATACTGCTCCAGGGCATTCTTATTCCACCTTGAATCATTTGCATAATTAGAACCTTTGTTCTCATGATTTGGTGCTATCTATCTATCTATCTATATATATATATAAATAAAATTGAACTGTAACACATCTTGTCATGTTCAGCAACATAACAAGATATTTTCACGTGAATATCCTAGAGTATCCAACGTCTTTGTCTAGAGAAACTCATTGGTTGTTTGTGCAGTAAGCGTTGCATCATGTGCATCTTGTTGTAAAAACCCTGATCCGTAGACTTTCTCCTCCAGACTTTTCTAGTCATGGGGTAGATGCCGTAAATGTTTTTTTCTCGACCAATTAAAAGTTCTTTGATTGTTCTTTTTAGTTATTTTTTAGCCCAGTGACAGCACACACTTTTCTTTGGGCTTCATATTTCCAGATTCAGTGCAAAGCTACTAAAAAAACCTCCTGATCTTTCATCTGCTTCACAGGTTATTGCATAATTAGGAAATGGACATTACATGACCATGACACTGCAGCAAGTCTTGCACATCCAGGATGATGAACAAACCCGGGTGAGAGAACTGCATGTTTAACCACAGCCATTTGACTGAAAAGGTTTGAAAGCTAATGGAATCAGAGGATTATTCATTTATATTATTGAGGATTAAAGTTCAGAGTGCAACAAATCAGAAATACTGGTAAAACTCACAAGCAGGTTCCCAGTCGGACTTGGCCGTAACACTTTGGATGTGCCTGTGAGGCATCCGTGCCTGATGTCTGAACCACCTCAGCTAGCTTTCTTTGATTTGGAGGACTCCACTTTAAGTCCCTTTGGAGAAGCTCATTTCTACCAAGACCAGTAAATCAACAGCGTTGGTCTCATGCTCAGCTCTCGCTAATCCACAACAGGCTGATACAGAATCTAGATCGCTGCTGATGCCATGTCAATGCATCTGTCAGTCTCCCACTCCACTCTCCCCACACTCATGAACAAGACCAAACTACTAAAACTCTCCATTCTTTTCTGACTGAGGATCAAGACCTTTGACTTTAAAGTACTGATTCTAAGCCACCAACTTCACACCGCGTTGCAAACCGCCTCAGTGCAAGCTGAGGTCATGGCTAAATGAAGCCAACAAAATCAAATAATCTGCAAAAACCACAGTTGTGATCTTGAGTCAACTGAACCACAAACCCTCTGCTCGCTGGCTGCACCTACAAATTCTGTCTATTCACAGAATTACAGACAGAATTCAAATTCACACGTGGCTTTGAAGAAT